TGGGGCAGCAACAACATTATGGCTTTCCAAAACTCATCAAGCTCAGATGCCTGTAGATTCCAAGCTCCAATATGTCGTAGGCTGGGTTATAAAAGTAGATTCGTCAAGGCACCAGAAGAACACAACCTATTGAAAGATCCGAGTTGTAGTGGTAAAAATTCGATAACTGTTGCTGATCATCTCGAAAGCCACACAATTGGCAGTAATAATGTCTGAAAATGTGTGATTCAACCAGTTATTGTTAAAAAGATGCAATATATAGCACCTCGTCCATACGACTTGAGTGAATGATGAATGCGCCAGAAATAAGTTGCTAGATTGTGCTTTTTGGACGCAGACGAGTCTTAGCCATTCACATAAGACTTGCATGTCCGAGACTAGTATTTCACTCTGCATAAATTCCTTTCATTCAACGAATTGAAGCTCCAACAGCCCAAATAGCATGAACATGTTGGTGCTGCGAAACACTAAAACTGAGGCACTGATCTGTCTTTCAAAGACCGTTCTTAGGATCAACACGTAGTGTGATCCAATGATTAAACGTATGAAATACCTGAGATTCAGCTGCCCACTGAATTTACTTCATGTCAGCACTCATTGTTATCGGAAAGTCTGTTACCTTAACGAGTTAAGGAGCCCGCATGCACACAAAAGACTCAGTGATCAATTTTGTATTTGAATTTGTTATGCATGTTTATGTATATGTGCGCTGGGATGGTTTTCCGTCCACTGCTTTCGTGCGACTTGGTGAACATTCGTTCGTCGTTGATGATCTCAATAATTTGCGGAGTATTTGAATGACTAAGATGTTCACCTGATTGAACTAATAGCTGCACAAAGCGCGATCCTTAACAATACTCTGAACATGCTAAATGCTTTTGCCACTGCTTCTCTCGAAACTCTTTAATACGATCTACATGCGTATTTCAATAAAGAAAAAAATTCTGAAGTCCGTGGTTCCATCATCAGCAAAGAAGTTGACGAAGTTAACTTATGCTATAGGAATATCCGAGAAAATTAAGTGACATTAGAAAGGTACGGTTTTGCAAGAGCAATACCTTAGGAAACTTTTCTATTATAAGCTTGATCCTCGAACCATTATTTGCAGTTAACAATAATTGCGTCAAGTTGCATATAAGTGTGATCGCATGTTTATCGGCAAGATACGTCGACAGAGAGCCATTTTATACTGTAATGTTGATCATTCTGGACCTATTACTCACGTCGTTAAAAAGTGCAGTGAATCTCACAATGGTGATGTTACAGGAATCAGCCGACACTGCTACAGACTACGAAGTTTAATTAAAAACTAGCTTCACAGCGGCTCTAACTGTCAGACTTTTTAAGGTTGCATTCACTCCTTTTCTAGTATACACAGGGTAGAGCGTAATTAATTGTTTAATAAAGGATAAGATAAACGCTTTGACAGCTGGGTCAAGCCTCAAATGACTCAAGCGCACGGTGTTATTCTACAGATTCCCTGATGATGATTAATGGCAATTTGGTAAAAACGTTTGAATCATCATCAGTTTTGTTAATCTATTGCAGGAAGATGGTTTCTCCAGCAATTTTTCCGCATTTTTTTGTTTACTGCCATTTTCTTCCATCCCGATTGAGGGAACTTCTTCAAGAATTTTGTCATCGATTTGAACGTCTTCTCATAGGTCGTTTGCTCTATCTTAAGCAATAATCGGTTGTTCTTGCAGTGTATAATGCGTCCATCACTTTAATTTAATTTAATCTCTCGACAGCCACATTTGCAAACTCCTGTTTCTGCTCTCACCAATTAGTTTGTCTTCCAACCTTTCCTTGGTATTCATATCATACATTTTTACGTGCTTAGTCGAGTAATCTGTAGTTCATGAATAAGTTTCAGGCTTTGGTCCAATGTTGCGCATTCATTTGTTAGCACTAGTCGCACAGTCTGATCCAATATTTTCTGTATTAAGCACTTGTGCAGCTTTGCAGTCTCCCGAAGACGTTGAAATCATTAAATTTTTTCCCGTTTCTCCTGCTGGCAGCCATGGAATCAGAGCTCCGATCAATTTCACATCTTCCAGGCATAGAATCGGTATAAGTTGGAGAGTTATTCATTTACGAGATGACTTTGCTCATGATTATATTATTTTCAGCATGTTCCTCATATGTTTGCAATCCTATTATGCACAATATTTCCTTCGTTCGACAGCGACGCTGATTCCTTGGTGAAAATTTATTGCGATGTTTTTTAACCTTTCATTTAATTTGTTTCACAAAAGCCCTAGTTTTCTTTGATGCTGAAAATTGGGAGTCAGAAGCACTTCCATTCATGTAGAAGCAAAATTGGTCAGCTTTTTGATTTATCACACTGGACCAAAAGGAAAAAAAGTGGTGAGGGCTGGAAGGATAATGCCACTAAAGGCTTGAACTGAATGACGCAAAATCTTCGAAAATTGAAACGGACTGGTTTATTAATGACGACTTTTCGAATATACAACTGCATTCATAATTGGGATACCTGAATTACGCGACATCTAAATTATGCGGGAGCAAAGAGGCGCTGCAATGCGTCGTGAAATCTTGCCTTGGATGACTCCTTCGTCATTTGACATACCGACATACGAGCAGCGTATACTGCATATGCCGACACATACTAAGTAACCGCCCGTGGGACATAATCCTTGATGAACGCTAAATGACTCTGCGGACAAAATGATGCGAAATGCATCTTACGTTGTAGTGTCGAAGCACCATGAAATCGTGGCCTGCATAAATGGTCCCCGAATGCAACTATGAGCAAGATGACGGTGTAATACGACAGGAAATCTGGTATTGCTAGAATGGTTCATTATAGAAGCAAAGAAGAAGGCATATAATTGCTTAAGATGTTGCTTTATTTTTACATAGGAGATGACATACACTAAGTTACTAGTTTGAAGAACATATTAATAGGAAAAACGTGTAAAATGATTCCGTTGTACAGAGATATTTTGGAAAGCGTACCTGATTATCAGTAATAATCACTTACTGTCAGTGCGAAATTTCGCATCAGTGTATGCTAGTTCGTATGAATGAA